AATAATTATTCAATAAATTAACATACAGCTGGGAATCACAAATATAAAAAAAAACATCCGTGAGTAATCAATATATAAGAGCAAGTCCATGCAAGTGAAAACTGTGTGAAAAGGTGATCTTCACTTCTAGTGCATAAATCCTCAAATGGCAGCAGTGCCTGCTCACCTCCACACACTGACCCACACAGGGCCAAAAGGCTATTAATCTTCTTTATACCAGATCCTCATAAGTATGTTACTCATCCAGAGACCACAGGATAAATGGAGACTCCTCCCCCAGCGTTTCTATTCCACTTCACCTCCACTCAATAGTATATAGATAAGACACAAAGAAAATCCTTCCATAGTGCAACAATGTTTAATGTGAAAACAAATACAAAACAAGAATTGCACTCACATGTATCTCCCTAGTACATCAGCCTGTCACCCCATCCCATGGGTGTAATGCATGAAGCCTGGGGAAACCAATATGGCCGCTGCGTCCGGACATGCTTCACCTCGTGACCGGAAATGACGTACCTCGTGACCGGAAATGGCGTACAGCCAATCAGTGTACCTTTCGTGCAGCCCATCAGCGTACCTGTCAGTACAGCCCATCAGTGTACCTGTCAGCACAGCCCATCACGTACCTGTCAGTACAGCCCATCAGTGTACCTTACGTGCAGCCCATCAGCATACCTGTCAGTACAGCCCATCAGCGTACTTGTCAGCATAGCCCATCACATACCTGTCAGTACAGCCCATCAGCGTACCTGCTAGCACAGCCCATCAGCATACCTGTCAGCACAGCCCATCAGTGTACCTTTCGTAGCCCATCAGCATACCTGTCAGTACAGCCCATCAGCGTACTTGTCAGCATAGCCCATCACATACCTGTCAGCACAGCCCATCAGTGTACCTTACGTGCAGCCCATCAGCATACCTGTCAGTACAGCCCATCAGTGTACCTTACGTGCAGCCCATCAGCATACTTGTCAGCACAGCCCATCACATACCTGCTAGCACAGCCCATCAGCGTACCTGTCAGCACAGCCCATCAGTGTACCTTTCGTGCAGCCCATCAGCATACCTGTCAGTACAGCCCATCAGTGTACCTGTCCAGCAGCCTATCAGTGTACCTGTCCAGCACATCCATCAGTTAAGCTTATCAGTGCACCTGTCAGCGCATACACCAGTGCAGCCTATCAGTGTACCTGTCATCAGTGCAGCCTAATCAGAGTACCCATAACAGAACCGCCATCACTGCCGCCCATCAGCAGTGTACCCATCACAGTTGCCTGTCATACAGCTAAGATGTCAAAAAATATTTCACTAGTGAGGAGGCTTTCAAAATACTCAGCATGACGGAGGAGAGCAGCGGGGAGCTCTCACCGTCCAATTCTGATTCGGAATACGAGCCAGTAGAAAACAGTGGATCAGTGACTGAATCGGAAGAGGAAGCAGTCCCTCCTAAAAGAGTAAGACGCTTTGAAGAGCAGGCAACCACGAGCAGCGCCAATGTGCCACTGTCATTACACCCAAATGGTCAATCGGCAACGCCAACGGAGCTAGACCCCAGGATGAAAGGCCCAGTACCAGCACTGGAATATCACGCCAGACCCCAAGAGTCAGGGCTCAAACATACCTCCCAGACTCTCTGGCAAACCCTTTGTGGCTGCCTTCCAGCTCAGAATCAGCTACAATCCCCCCTTTTTCTTGGACTTTAGTGGAGCAGGGTGTCCTGGCCTCATCTTGGGTGGAAATGAGTGGGGAGGTTGGTAATTGCAGACATCAAAATTACTTTAAAGCAATCAAAAAAATTGAAACATGCAATCTAGAAAATAAAAAACGTGTTCTTACCTTTCTTGCTGTCCATTCTGCAAGAATGCCACACATTAAACATGGTGAGATGCTCTGTAATATAAACTGACAAGCAACACTGAAAACCACAAAAAAAAAAAATGGTAGTGCAATTTAATAAGCATGTGATAATTTGGGAGAATAGAGCTGGTTCCTTGAGGTGGTAATATATTTGAGTGGCTTAGATGCACCAGCCCGGCTGTCAAGAGTCCCTGGAAATTATCCTAAAATGTTGGCAATTAAGCACTTGTATAGACAGCACAGTACAATACAGGACAATGTACCAGTATCTGTGCAAAAAATACAATTCATTATGGTTTAATGAATAAGCTGCATTAGATGGAGTTTTGGATTGTTTTTATATATGCCTCATGTTTAGCTTTACATAGTTAAAACAAATGTATGCAGGCTGTTGGCATTGTCTATTTGTTAACTACATGCCGCCCAGCCACTGTACATATACGGCGGCAGGGCGGCACTCGCAGGCAAAACCACGTTTTAAAATGTGTGTTTTGTAAACAAATAGGGGGCGCGCGCGAGGCGTGCCGCCGCCTTATCTGTCCCGCGGATCACCGCCGCAGATGTCAGTCGCCGGGTCACAGCCACTCCTTAGCGGCTATGTCCCGGCGATCGGCGGCAAACAGTGACAGAGAGCACAGCTGCAGTAGCTGTGCTGTCTGTCACTTCCCTGTCAGCTCAAGGATGAGCTGATCGAGAAAGAACAGTTTCTCTTTCTCGATCAGCCTTGTCCCGTCCAAAACACCTCCCCGCCCCCTAGTAAAACACTCCCCCTCACTCCTATAACCCTTCCCTGCAAAATAAAGTTAACCCCTTCCTCCCCATTGCCATTAGTACAGTGTCAGTGGTTTTTTTTTTTTGCACTGATCACTGTATTAGTGTTTTTTGGGGATGTCAGTGACCCCAAGTCAGTACCCCCCAATGTCAGAATGTCCGCCGCAGTCCCGCCATAAGTCGCTGGTCGCTGCCATAAGTCACTGATCGCCGCCATAATTCGCTGATCGCCATTATTAGTATAAAAAAAAAACCTAAAAACCCCAGTATCTTTCCCGCCATTTGTAAATGCTATAACTTTCACGTAAACCAATTAATTTACACGTATTGGGTTTTTTTTTTAGCAAAGACATGTCGCAGAATGCATTTTGGCAGAAATTTATGACTAAATTTGATTTTTTTTTTTTTTTTTTTTTTTTACCGGACATGTTTGCAAAAAGTCCAAAATATTGTTTTTTTTCCCTCAAAATTGTCAGCACAGGCGATCAAATACCACCGAAAGAAAGCTAAATTTGTGGGGAAAAAAAAGGATGTAAATTTTCATTTATGTACCATATTGCATGACCGCGCAATTGTCCGTTTAAACTAGCGCAGCGCTGTATAGCAGAAAAATGGCGTAAATTGCAGTATTTATACCATAGTTTGTAGATGCTATAACTTCCACACAAAGCAATAAATATACACTTATTGGGATTTTTTTTACCAAAAACATGTAACAGAATACATTTTGGCCTACATTTATAACCAACTTTGAGTTTACTATATATTTTTTATAGCTGAAAGTAAAAAATATTGTTTTTCTTCAAAATTTTTGGCCTTTTTTTGTTTATAGCGTGAAAAATAAAAAGCGCACAGGTGATTAAATTACACCAAAAGAAAGCTCTATTTGTGTGAAAAAAAGGACGTAAATTTTGTTTGGGTGCAGCATTGCATGACCGCGCAATTATCTGTTGAATTAGTGCAGTGTTGAGTAGCTGTCAGGAATGGACTGGCCAGCTATGGTGGGACTCACCTGCCTTTTGATCTGCAGTACCAGGGCTGGCCAGCCGGTGTTCCCAGCAATCAGAGACTCAACTTTGCAGCCAGCTAACACCTGTAACTGATTATGCTGGGGTATTTAAGGGATGGCCAGACCCACAGACTCTGCCTTGGTGTGTGTTTTGTCCTGGGCCCTGCATCCTGTTTCTGAACCGCTGCTGACTTCTCCTGCTCTGATCCCGGCTCGCTCCTGACCATCCCTCTGTCTGACCCTCTGTACCACGCTGCTTGCTACCTGTTCTGATCCCTGGCTTGTGACCCTGACCAATCTCCGCTTGCTCCCCCTGTACCTACCTGCCCTATTGATATTGACCCGGCCTGCCTGACGACGCTTGCTTGTATGTACTGTTATCTGTGGGTGGTTTGGTTTGGTTTGTTTGCACTGTATTATGTTTTAGTATTGCACTGCGTTTATGTTTGTATTGTTAGTGTTAATAAATTATATTGTTTATAACATATCTGAGGTCTGCGTTTCCCTGCGTCAGTCACACATCTCTGGTCACACCTGGGAGCCCTGACATTACACCAAGCCCAATCCTGACCAGAAGTGGCTGCACAGGGAAGCCATCTTGGCTTGTTGATGGGAAGGATGGATCTGGATGAGGTTGAGTATTTATCTCTGCTAGTGCTTGATGACAGAGAGTATGCTTATCAGACTCTGAAGGAGTATACCCGGGATGAACTGCTAGAATGTATCCGGCTCGCTCATGTTCTAGTAGATCAGGGCACAGATTTCTCTATGGTGCAGCCATTGATTTAGGTTTGTGTTGAGTTGGTTTCATCTGGTTCCCCCGAATGCAGGGATGAATTTTTGCCACCATTTAGTGCAGACCAGGTTGAGTCCTGGTGGTGTGGTTATTAGAGGATGATGTGGGTTACTTTCTGGAGCGTTATTCCACATGTTCACCACAGACACTAAGAGATTGTATAAACGCAGTGCAATCATTGACCAGACAGGCTTTGTGTAAGCTCAGCTTTGTTCAACCCATACTGCAGACATGGACAGACTTGTTGCACCCAGCCTCAGTCAGCTTACAAAAAACCCAGTCCTGCTTCTAACTCTACTCCTGTATTCCCACCAGCTCCTCCAGTTACAGCCCAGTATACTTGGCTATCTACCGCATGTCAGTACCCTGTTCCCACTCGCTGCACCTATCCTGCCTTTAACCCTGTAAAAAAGCCCTCTGTAGCAACTGCTCCCTCTCCTGTTCCATCCTCCAGTTTTTCTCTGTCTCCAGCTGCTCCATTCGTTTGCAGACCTGCGTTTACTTGCAGTGCTCCAGTAGTTAAAACCAGAAAAAAGCGAAAATTCTTTCCAACCAATACCATCCTGCCAGTATCCAAACCGGTGAACCTGCCTTCCGTGACTCAGCCTGAAGCCTCTACTCGGCCTGAAGCCTCTACTCGGCCTGAAGCCTCTCTTCAGCCGGATGCCTCTCTTCAGCCGGATGCCTCTCCTCAGCCGGATGCCCTCCTCAGCCGGATGCCTCTCTCCTCAGCCGGATGCCTCTCCTCAGCCGGATGCCTCTCCTCAGCCGGATGCCTCTCCTCAGCCGGATGCCTCTATTCAGCCTGATGCCTGCATTCAGCCTGATGCCTGCATTCAGCCTGATGCCGCTACTCAGCATGATGAACTGATCCAGCCCGACGATCCTATTAGGCCAGTTGACTCTATGCCCGCTGTTGATCCAGATGATCCGGTACCTGATCCAGTGCCCGCTGTCGTGCCAATTGACTCAGAGCCCGCTGTCATACCTGGTGACCCGGTGCCCACTGCCGTGCCAGATGACGCGGTGCCCGCTGGCAAGCCAAATGACCTGATGCCTGGTGACCCAGTGCCCGCTGTCATACCTGGTGACCCGATGCCCGCTGTCGAGCCAGACAATCCGATACCTGATGACCCAGTGCCCACTGTCGTGCCTGTTGACTCGGAGCCCACTGTCTTGCCAGACGACTCGGTGCCCGCTGTTCCGCCAGTCGACTCGGTGCCCGCAGTCTTGCCAGACGACTCGATGCCCGCAGTCTTGCCAGTTGACTCGATGCCCGCAGTCTTGCCAGACGACTCGGTGCCCGCAGTCTTGCCAGACGACTCGGTGCCCGCAGTCTTGCCAGACGACTCGGTGCCCGCAGTCTTGCCAGACGACTCGGTGCCCGCAGTCTTGCCAGACGACTCGGTGCCCGCAGTCTTGCCAGACGACTCGGTGCCTGCTGTTCCGCCAGTTGACTCGGTGCCTGCTGTTCCGCCAGTTGACTCGGTGCCCGCAGTCTTGCCAGACGACTCGGTGCCCGCAGTCTTGCCAGACGACTCGGTGCCCGCAGCCTGCCAGACGACTCGGTGCCCGCAGCCTTGCCAGACGACTCGGTGCCCGCAGCCTTGCCAGACGACTCGGTGCCCGCAGCCTTGCCAGACGACTCGGTGCCCGCAGCCTTGCCAGACGACTCGGTGCCCGCAGTCCCGCCAGTCGACTCGGTGCCCGCAGCAGTCCCGCCAGTCGACTCGGTGCCCGCAGCCTTGCCAGACGACTCGGTGCCCGCAGCCTTGCCAGACGACTCGGTGCCCGCAGCCTTGCCAGACGACTCGGTGCCCGCAGCCTTGCCAGACGACTCGGTGCCCGCAGCCTTGCCAGACGACTCGGTGCCCCGCAGTCCCGCCAGTCGACTCGGTGCCCGCGCAGTCCCGCCAGACGACTCGGTGCCCGCAGTCCCGCCAGACGACTCGGTGCCCGCAGTCCCCCGCCAGACGACTCGGTGCCCGCAGCCTTGCCAGACGACTCGGTGCCCGCAGCCTTGCCAGACAACTCGGTGCCCGCAGTCTTGCCAGACGACTCGGTGCCCGCAGCCTTGCCAGACGACTCGGTGCCCGCAGCCTTGCCAGACGACTCGGTGCCCGCAGTCCCGCCAGTCGACTCGGTGCCCGCAGTCTTGCCAGACGACTCGGTGCCCGCAGCCTTGCCAGACGACTCGGTGCCCGCAGCCTTGCCAGACGACTCGGTGCCCGCAGCCTTGCCAGACGACTCGGTGCCCGCAGCCTTGCCAGACGACTCGGTGCCCGCAGCCTTGCCAGACGACTCGGTGCCCGCAGTCCCGCCAGTCGACTCGGTGCCCGCAGTCCCGCCAGTCGACTCGGTGCCCGCAGTCCCGCCAGTCGACTCGGTGCCGCGCAGCCTTGCCAGACGACTCGGTGCCCGCAGCCTTGCCAGACGACTCGGTGCCCGCAGCCTTGCCAGACGACTCGGTGCCCGCAGCCTTGCCAGACGACTCGGTGCCCGCAGCCTTGCCTGACGACTCGGTGCCCGCAGCCTTGCCTGACGACTCGGTGCCCGCAGCCTTGCCAGACGACTCGGTGCCCGCAGCCTTGCCAGTCGACTCGGTGCCCGCAGTCCCGCCAGACGACTCGGTGCCCGCAGTCCCGCCAGACGACTCGGTGCCCGCAGTCCCGCCAGACGACTCGGTGCCCGCAGTCCCGCAGACGACTCGGTGCCCGCAGCCTTGCCAGACGACTCGGTGCCCGCAGCCTTGCCAGACGACTCGGTGCCCGCAGCCTTGCCAGACGACTCGGTGTGCCCGCAGCCTTGCCAGACGACTCGGTGCCCGCTGTTCCGCCAGTTGACTCGGTGCCCGCTGTTCCGCCCAGACGACTCGGTGCCCGCAGCCTTGCCAGACGACTCGGTGCCCGCAGCCTTGCCAGACGACTCGGTGCCCGCAGTCCCGCCAGTCGACTCGGTGCCCGCAGTCCCGCCAGACGACTCGGTGCCCGCAGCCTTGCCTGACGACTCGGTGCCCGCAGCCTTGCCTGACGACTCGGTGCCCGCAGCCTTGCCTGACGACTCGGTGCCCGCAGCCTTGCCAGACGACTCGGTGCCCGCAGCCTTGCCAGTCGACTCGGTGCCCGCAGTCCCGCCAGACGACTCGGTGCCCGCAGTCCCGCCAGACGACTCGGTGCCCGCAGTCCCGCCAGACGACTCGGTGCCCGCAGTCCCGCCAGACGACTCGGTGCCCGCAGCCTTGCCTGACGACTCGGTGCCCGCAGCCTTGCCAGACGACTCGGTGCCCGCAGCCTTGCCAGACGACTCGGTGCCCGCAGCCTTGCCAGACGACTCGGTGCCCGCAGCCTTGCCAGACGACTCGGTGCCCGCTGTTCCGCCGCCAGTTGACTCGGTGCCCGCTGTTCCGCCAGACGACTCGGTGCCCGCAGCCTTGCCAGACGACTCGGTGCCCGCAGCCTTGCCAGACGACTCGGTGCCCGCAGTCCCTTGCCAGTCGACTCGGTGACTCGGTGCCCGCAGTCCCGCCAGTGCCAGACGACTCGGTGCCCGCAGTCCCTTGCCAGACGACTCGGTGCCCGCAGCCTTGCCAGACGACTCGGTGCCCGCAGCCTTGCCAGACGACTCGGTGCCCGCAGCCTTGCCAGACGACTCGGTGCCCGCAGCCTTGCCAGACGACTCGGTGCCCGCAGCCTTGCCAGACGACTCGGTGCCCGCAGCCTTGCCAGACGACTCGGTGCCCGCAGCCTTGCCAGACGACTCGGTGCCCGCAGTCTTGCCAGACGACTCGGTGCCCGCTGTTCCGCCAGACGACTCGGTGCCCGCAGCCTTGCCAGACGACTCGGTGCCCGCAGCCTTGCCAGACGACTCGGTGCCCGCAGCCTTGCCAGACGACTCGGTGCCCGCAGTCCCGCCAGTCGACTCGTGTGCCCGCAGTCCCGCCAGACGACTCGGTGCCCGCAGCCTTGCCAGACGACTCGGTGCCCGCAGCCTTGCCAGACGACTCGGTGCCCGCAGCCTTGCCAGACGACTCGGTGCCCGCAGCCTTGCCAGACGACTCGGTGCCCGCAGCCTTGCCAGACGACTCGGTGCCCGCAGTCTTGCCAGACGACTCGGTGCCCGCTGTTTCCGCCAGTTGACTCGGTGCCCGCTGTTCCGCCAGACGACTCGGTGCCCGCAGCCTTGCCAGACGACTCGGTGCCCGCAGCCTTGCCAGACGACTCGGTGCCCGCAGCCTTGCCAGACGACTCGGTGCCCGCAGCCTTGCCAGACGACTCGGTGCCCGCAGTCTTGCCAGTTGACTCGGTGCCCGCTGTTCCGCCAGTTGACTCGGTGCCCGCTGTTCCGCCAGTTGACTCGGTGCCCGCAGTCTTGCCAGACGACTCTGTGCCCGCAGCCTTGCCAGACGACTCTGTGTGCCCGCAGCCTTGCCAGACGACTCTGTGCCCGCAGCCTTGCCAGACGACTCTGTGCCCGCAGCCTTGCCAGACGACTTGGTGCCCGCAGCCTTGCCAGTCGACTCGGTGCCCGCTGTTCCGCCAGTCGACTCGGTGCCCGCAGTCTTGCCAGACGACTCGGTGCCCGCAGTCTTGCCAGACGACTCGGTGCCCGCTGTTCCGCCAGTTGACTCGGTGCCCGCCGCTTCGTCTGGGGGCCCGAGACCTGTTGCTCTGCCTGAGGGCCCGAGACCTGTAGCTCCGCCTGGGGGGGTCCGGCGCCCGCCGCTCCGCATGGGGGTCCGGCGCCCGTCGCCCCGCCTGGGGGCCCGATGCCTGCTGCGCCTGGTGCCTTCGCCTGGTAGCCCGATGTGCCTCTGCCCGGGGTCCGGCCCGATGTGCCTCTGCCCGGAGTCCTGCCCGATGTGCCTCTGCCCGGAGTCCTGCCCGATGTGCCTCTGCCCGGAGTCCTGCCCGATGTGCCTCTGCCCGGAGTCCTGCCCGATGTGCCTCTGCCCGGAGTCCGGCCCGGTGTGCCTCTGCCCGGAGTCCGGCCCGGTGTGCCTGCCTCTGCCCGGAGTCCGGCCCGGTGTGCCTCTGCCCGGAGTCCGGCCCGGTGTGCCTCTGCCCGGTGTACCGCTGCCCGGAGTCCTGCCCGGTGTGCCAGTCTTTGATATCCCGCCAGTTACCAGACCCGGGCGGTGGAACATTTTTCCCAGCTAGGACTGTTTGGAGCGTCCTGAGGCCGCTCCTTGAGGGGGGGGGTACTGTCAGGAATGGACTGGCCAGCTATGGTGGGACTCGCCTGCCTTTTGATCTGCAGTACCAGGGCTGGCCAGCGGGTGTTCCCAGCAATCAGAGACTCAACTTTGCAGCCAGCTAACACCTGTAACTGATTATGCTGGGGTATTTAAGGGATGGCCAGACCCACAGACTCTGCCTTGGTGTGTGTTTTGTCCTGGGCCCTGCATCCTGTTTCTGTTTCTGTCCTGCATCCTGTTTCTGTCCTGCATCCTGTTTCTGAACCGCTGCTGACTTCTCCTGCTCTGATCCCGGCTCGCTCCTGACCATCCCTCTGTCTGACCCTCTGTACCACGCTGCTTGCTACCTGTTCTGATCCCTGGCTTGTGACCCTGACCAATCTCCGCTTGCTCCCCCTGTACCTACCTGCCCTATTGATATTGACCCGGCCTGCCTGACGACGCTTGCTTGTATGTACTGTTATCTGTGGGTGGTTTGGTTTGTTTGCACTGTATTATGTTTTAGTATTGCACTGCGTTTATGTTTGTATTGTTAGTGTTAATAAATTATATTGTTTATAACATATCTGAGGTCTGCGTTTCCCTGCGTCAGTCACACATCTCTGGTCACACCTGGGAGCCCTGACAGTAGCAAAAAAGAGGCCTGGTCATTAAGGGGGGTAAATCCTCTGGAGATCAAGTGGTTAAGGTGCCCACGTAATGCCTTCAATGTCAGGAAAACCAAGAGAAGATTTAGGGAACGAATTAGTGATCACGTTAATGATGTATGAGGGGGGGATCTTGTGAGTTCGGTCACAAGAACACTATTACAACCCTAGTGGCACGAGGTTTCTAGCCCTTGAAATAATTCACCCCCATCCTAGAAATATATTTTGATAATACAATTCTACAGAGGGAATGCAGATGGATTTATAGTTTAAAGACATGTAAGAAACTTGCCTAAATGAAATATGAAGTTATGCTCCTTTCTTATAATATGGCATGTTTTGCAGTCATTTTCCTGATATAT